CTTCTCTATCCACGCCGCGGTCGTTCTTATCGCATTATTTACCTTATCTGTTATTCCCCAATTCGTATCGTCTTCGACGAGTAGAGTCACGATCACACTTGCTATTAAAAAAAACCTGGAGTTTGATACGGGGCGATAGGAGGTTACATTTGAGATAATCACAATGCAAATTGACGTCTTTTCTTAAATTTTTATTTCTGAGTCTCTGGGAGGGTCCAAAAAAAGTGTGTTTTTAAATTATTGATGTATCTCTAACTGTATTTTTCTGCCAAGCATTTCATTACTATCGATTTATTATAATACTAACGTACATAGTAGTAAAATATACAATGTATCATTAATAATTTTAGTAGGTTTCCCATTATTTATTTAATTTTTTTATCTTTTGACTATGCTCGTGTCCGAATTAATTAATATAAATTACCTTGTTTTTTATTAACCAAATGTGATTAATAGATGCAATTTCTATTTCTGTGTAAATTCATGAATCATTCTTTAGACCACTAAGTCCATCTCTGAGTGGTACTTTAAAAAATAATTACATATCGCACATCCTATAGCATAGCAAAGATATAAAAAGTTGGTTACAAAAACTATTGTTTTAGAAATACTTTATATTAGGATATAATGTTATTGTTTGACGATCTATTTTTTATTCACTTATAAATAATTGTATTACTTATAAACATCCATACATAATTCTCATACACAAAAAACATAAACATAAAATCACTGACTTTGAAGCAATAGGCGAAAATATAATAGAGTAAACATAACGATGGAAGAATCACATATTACGGTACTTGGGATTTACGCAATCAGTGATGATGAACCTTACACAAACAAAGATGAGTTCTTTACTAAAGTTAACGATGAAATTACGAAAATTGGAAATAGAACAGAATTGGTAGTTATAGGAGACCTGAACAGTAAAGGAGGCCGTAAAGTAGTTAATAAGGTGGTAGGTCCCTACGGAGAAATAAACCAGAATGATAATGGTGCGAGGGTAATTGAAATTTGTGAAACCATCAATTAAAATAACCAATAGATTTTTTTAAACATAGAGATATGCACAGGTACACCTGGACCCAAACTACAAGAAATCTAAAATCAATTATAGACTATGTCATCATAAAACAAAATACCAATATGCAAGTACAGAACACAAGAGCATACAGAGGAATAACATGTGGTTCAGATCATTATGTCGTAAAACCAAAGAAACCTGTCCATTTAGTTATAAAATAACACATAATCAAACAGATTGTCAACCCCAACAAGAAGAAACTTAGGAAAAAAGAAGTTATAATTTGGGTAGTTTGACCCAAGAGAGTACAAGAATACTCTATCAACAAAGATTGGATGGCAAACTAATGAATATAACTGAAACATCAACAGTAGAGGAGGTATATAAAAACGAAGTCGTTATCGTTAAAAAAGCTGCAGAAGAAGCACTCGGCTTTAACACTCAAAGACAAAGTGAAAAACTATGGTGGAACAAAGAAATAGAAGCAGTATAGAAGAGAAAAAGCAAGCGTATATCAGATGGCTGAGCAGTAAACAACAAAAAGATAGAGATGAATACCTGGAACTCAAAAGAATAACAGGAAAAACAACAGTAAAAGCAAAAGAGAAATGTGGGATAAGAAGTGCCAGGAAATTAATACCTACCTGGGAGGCAAAACATGTATAGAAACATGGAAGTTTTTCAGTAAAATAAGAACTAACGAAAAAGAGTACAAACATTCAATTAATATCCACACAAAAATGGGAAAAGTATTATGGGAAACTACTGACAGAAAATAGGGACGAATATATAACTTAATCACCAACAGAGGTTAATATTGAAGAAGATATAACAATACAATTGACAGAAATTAGAAAAGCTATAAAAGAACTAAAAACGGTATGTCTCCAGGACTAGGGGATATCCCAGCCGAACTAATAAAATGTGGATCACAAACTTGGTGCATAAATCAATTTATAAATGGTTCTCCTGTACCCGACGAGTGGAAAATTGCTTATATTTCGTCAATCCATAAGAAAGGAGATAAGCTTAAATGTGAAAACTATAGAGGGATATCAGTCACTAATACATTCAGCCATTTGTATGGACGAATAATTAGAGACTGCATTGAGAAGGAATACAAAGACCAAGAGGAAGAAGAACAATCCGGTTTTAGAACAGGAAGAAGCTGTACTGATAATATCTTCTACCTCAAACAAATAATAGAAAAAAAAATTAAGCACAAATCAAGAAACCCACCTCATGTTTATTGACTTGCAGAAGGCGTACGATACAGTTCCTGTAAACAAACTCTGGAAACTTGTTACGACAGACGAATATTAGTGTCACCTTAAAAAAGCCTTAAGAAATTTGTATGAAGGGTCAACATCACAAATAAAAAATGGAAACAGACTATCGCAAAGCTTCCTAGTTAATAAAGGTCTACGTCAGGGTGTTGTGTATCACCAACCATGTTTAAAATATATGTTGCAGAAGCATTGAAAGAGTGGAAACGAAAATGCAGATTCATGGGCGTAGACCTTTGAGAGATTTGCTTGTATACATTGCACTTTGATGACCAGGTTGTTATAGCAAACGATAAAGATGCTCTAGAGTACATGGCAAGGAAATTACAAGAAGAATATAGAAAGTGGGGACTAGAAATTAATACAAAAAAAACAAAATACTTGCCAATAGGTACCGAACTATCGAACATCACAATAGAAAATAACGAAATCATCATACTCTGCGACCATTACACATACCTAGGAAGAAATAAAGAGAAAAATAACATAATCCAGAAAAACAATAGGTTGTCTAAACAGCGTACTGTGGAGTCATGAAATAGGAAAAAAAAGAAAACACAATATCTACGAATCTCTTATTAAAAGCAGTCTATTGTACGGAGCGGAAACTTGGCGAATATCCGAAAACAACAGAAGAAAACTGGAGACAGTAGAAATGGACGCTATTAGAAGATCAGTAGGAGTGTCACGCAGAGAATGCAAATGGGGGTTGACGGCTCTCTAACAACAGACATAGAAAGAAAACAGCTGATATGGTACGGACACGTCCAAATGATGGATAACTCAAGACTCCCAAAAATAATTATGCAATGGGTACCACCAAACCGTAGAAAGAGAGGAAGACCCAAGAAATCTTGGAGAGAGGGAGTAACGATGGCAATGAGCGCAAGAGATCTTAAAGAGGGCCATACCTGGGTAGTACCAAAAGAAAGGTGCTAAATGAAGTGTGGTAACCTATGGTGCCCCCGTGTGGTGTAGCTTACTAAACAGTGCGAAATACGCTAAGCAAATGAAGACTTCACAAAAGCGAATTCTCCTCAAGGTATCTAGCGCATATAGGACAGGCTCTATATATCATTGGAGCGGTGATACTGATCGTTTGGTTGTGCAAAGAGCGAGCGAGGATGTATGCGAGGAGTATGGATGTAAATATAGATTAGAATAAGAGAGAAACAACGATAGCAGAGTGGCAGAGAGATTGGGCGAATCTAGTGGAAAGGCAAGGTGGACGAAGGAGCTTATTCCTGATCTGAGACCGTGGTAGGAATGTAATTTCGGGAAACTAGACTACTTCCTGACGCAGTTTCTGACCGGACATGCTAGTTTTGGCACCTTTACAAATAGAATAAGCAAATCTACCTCGGCAGACTGTATTGTTTGTGGGGTACTGGATGCTTCACCCCACATTTTTAACTGCCATATATGTGCAAATGAGAGGGGTGATTTTAAGAGGCGAATGGGTTTCAGGCTGGATGAAAGAAACATTGTAAACATAATGTTTGAATGTGAAAAGAGAGAAAGAATGGAGAGAAGTACACTGTCTGATTTCTAAAGTTGTGAAAAAAAAGAGCAGGAGGGCAGAGGCGGAAATAGAGCCAGAGATCTGAAATTTATTATTATTATTATTTATTAATTTATGGCCTAACGTCTGAAACTGTTTCTGATTTACGGTAATAGGTATGGTTATTTATAAATTTTTAGTTTTTCATGTTAGTTGTTTATTGAGTGGTAAGACTACCTCTCTGGAACAGTGGTTAAGGTTTTAAAGATGCCAGGGTGTCTTGTTCCATGACGTAGATGTCCAAAAAAGGTTTCCCCCACCGTTGCCTGTCAGAATTCAACTGATACCTTCTTAGACTATTACTGGAATCTGGCAATACGGCAATTAAAAGAATAATTGTTATTATCCGTCATTATTACTGTATAGTCTGCAAAACACAAGCTATTCAACACTTCCCCATTGATAGATATATCTTCTCTTGAATCTGAGAGCGCTTCTTTAAATACCGCTTCACTTTAGTCATTGAAGGGTAGTGGTAACAGCACGCAACCTTGGTGGACTCCTTTATATATTTTGATATTCAGTGTGTTCTAGTTGTCAACTCTTACGGCGGGAGTTTGATTATAATATAGATTAGATATATTTTCATAATACGACTGTCAATATTTTTGCTTTTTAATATTTTTATGTTTAACCTTATCAAATGTCCTTTCAAAATCTACAAAACATAAGTAATAATCTGATTCATATCTATTCATCTCTGGGCCAGTACAGTCAAACCGAGCAAAGCATCACTAGTGCTCATACAACTGCAACTTTCGGAGAACCACCAACTACACACAGAGTCACATATTATAAAATATATTAAGGTGCATAGACTAAAATAAACTGGACACATTGCTAGGATGTCAGATAATAAATACATGAAAAGATTGACATTGTCAAACACAGAGGACAGAAAAAGTAGGGATGACCGCGTAGAAGATAGATTGATGATGTGGAAAAAGACTTTTAGATTCTGAGGATCAGGTGATGAAGGGAAATTGCTAGAAATCGACAGGAATAACGACTTCTCTGCGAGAAAGCCAAGATCCACAAATATTATCGAGCTAATTATGATGATAAAACTAAAATTGATAAACAGCCGCCAAGAAAACCTGATGACTAAAATAAAAAAAACAAAAACTACAGTCGATTGCCCTTTTATTGACAAAAACGCAATTTTACAAAAATTAAAATAAATAATTTATATTTACAATAATATCACAGATATGTCATTATCACAAGCGAGATACCGATTACACTTAACTGCTAACTTATGCACTTATAATACTTTTTATTTTATAAGCTCATCGCTGATGACTTCGCATGCACAGGAAGTATGATTTTCTGCTTGGAACTCTACGAACTTTTGTTTGGTTATCACCAAATAGTTCAGTGTTACAGTTTGGGTAGCACTCGGCTTGCATCTTTGATTGTATTTCGGGCAACACCCGGAACCATCGCACCTGTGAAGGACTGTGTGGAAAGGACGTATCTGGAACAAAATTAACAATAATTAATGACAAGGATTTTATTTATAGAATTTTGGCGAGTATAAAAAACGTTACAATCTAAAATAAACATTATGTATCGTTTAGGTTTAGTTCTAATATATATGTCTACAGAGTGGACCAAAAATCTATAAACACTTAATCGTTGTGATGTATATAAATAAGTAATTATTCGAACGCTCTGAGGTTGGTAACATTGTAAGAGTTACGTGACGGTGCAAGGAAGGAGAAATAAAACCATTCTGAATCTAGACACGATAGATAGAAGGTGTTTCATTATATCCTAACCTGCACTCTCCATGCTAACCTATCCTATAAACCCAACCACTTGTCATCACATGGTGCCGATAACCAAATCTGAAACCAAACCAAATTCTTTGAGACTTAAGAAGAGTATAAAAGTGAAATGGAATTTAAGGCAGCAATAAACTCAATGCAAATGTCAGGTAATCTATACGAAAACTGGAAATTCGTCATACAAAGATTTAAAAACTACCTTCAATCAACATAATTAACAAAAAAAACTGAAATAACCCAATGCGCAGAACTGTTACAATTAATAGGGGACGAAGGATTCAAAATCCATAATACGTTCAAGTTCTCAACAGAAGAAAAAGATAAGTTAGAATCATTAATCACAAAATTTGAAGACACATTTCAAACCCAGAAGCAATGTAGCAAACGCAAGGTATTGCTTGTTTACCAGAAAACAAAATTAATGTGAGTCAGTAGACAAATTTATAACAGATATTATAAACCAAGCAAACAATTGTGAGCTGGAGAATTTGGAGGACAGTCTGATTAAGACTTACGAAACCGTGAGACAGAGACTGTTAGAAGTAGATGAGACAAGCTTGGAAAAAGCAATCAATCTGTGTAAAAGTATAGAAAGCTCGTAAATGCATTCTGAAAAAATGAGGTCAGAGGATAACTAGATAAAGAAAGGAAACTTTAGTAAGAAATATGTAAATAAAAGCCAGTGGGAAGACAAAAGAGTGAATCCAACTCATTCGAAGTCCCAAGGCAGCCAGTTTAATGGTAAATCTGGAGGCAGTTCAGGGTGCAGTAGATCTGGAATAGAACACAGAGGCCAAACCTTCAAGGCATATAAAGCTAAGTGTAGTTTATGTAATAAGATAGGGCATTATGCAAAAGTATGTATTTAAAAACAAATTAAATATGTAGATGATTCAGAATCAGACGAATTGTTTATAGGTATGGTAAATACTAAAATGATAGTTTTGACAATGATTTCATGTTAAGTTTTAAAGTTCACAAGTATATTGCATATTGATAGTGAGATACTTAGTCATCTACGATTCGCAGATGATATTGTTCTGATTTCAGATGGCCTAAAGGCTGCCAGTGATATGTAGAATGAACTCAGCGATGCAGCACGTAAAGTAGATCTAAATATTAACAACCAAAAGACAAAAATGATGACTAATTTAGTTCCGAGCCATCCTTTAAGGGTAGAAGACTTCGAAATTGAAATTGTTGACAGCTACATATACCTTGGACATACGGTAAGAATTAGCAGAGATAATCAAAATGCTGAGCTGCTAAGAAGAATAACACTGGAATGGGCAGCATATGGAAGACTGCGTGATATTTTTAAAGGTGATATACCTATCAGGTTAAAAAGAAAATCCTTTAATCAGTGTGTCCTGCCTGTTCTTACATATGGCGCAGAGACATTTACCCTAACAAGGACATCTACACGAAAGTGACGCAACGTAGAATGGAAAGATCATTGTTAGGCATATCGTTGCGAAATAGGGTAAGAAACGAAGAAATCCGTAGAAAAAGTGGCGTAGAAGACATTATAAAACACATAGCCAAAATTAAATGGAGGTGAGCAGGACACGTCGCTAGAATGAAGGATAATAGGTGGACCAAAAAAATCTTGGAGTGTAGAGCGAGAGCGGATAAACGAAACCCGGTAAGACCACCCACAAGATGGACTGACGACATAAAGAGGATTTGTACCAACTGGATGGCAGCAGCACAAGATAGATCTGAATGCCGGTTTTTCGAGGAGGCCTATATTCAGGAGTACACGACTATGGGCTAATTCCCATGAAATCACAGATGATGATCTTAAAACAATTCTCACCAAAAAAAATTATAATACCAATTCAAATGACATCAAGTTATACAATTCTATTTAATGTGATATTTCTTGTGTTTATTATATCCACTAATAACCCTCCACTAATAACCTATTGTTGATGTGGTTTTTATGTTTAAATTAAAATAACTTTAAAATGAGAGAAGGCAGCAAATATTTGATTTCACGCAAACAAATCCTATGTATCTCTTGATACGAATTTCGACCTAATAGGTTTCGTCAGAAGAGCTATTCATAGGGGTTCTCAACGTGAAAAATCAATATTTTCTGCCTTTTAAGAAGCAACAATAACATGGCTTCAATACGGACGCAATAGCGACATCTAATTACAAAAATCGTAAAATAGTTTCGAAACACAATTCAGATTTCTGCTTTATAATCTGAGCCTTCTAAAAATTGCAAGGCAAACAGACGTTGATAAAAGATGTTAAAAGAGACATGGGGAATCTAAAATTTGCATTCCACGACATGTCTTTTACATTTTTTCTCATTTTATTCGGATTTACTCTGTGTGAGTACTAGAAGCACAATTCGCTAAGGATTTCTGCTTAGTTGTAAAAGACATGTCGTGGAATGCAAATTTAGATTCCCCATGTCTCTTTTAACATCTTTTATCAACGTCTGTTTGCCTTGCAATTTTTAGAAGGCTCAGATTATAAAGCAGAAATCTGAATTGTGTTTCGAAACTATTTTACGATTTTTTAAAATAACTTTGTTTACAATATGTTTTTATATTGTTTTTATCATTAAATTTATATTACTATTCAATAACAATATAAATAGTTGGTGATTTTTATTTTATTACCTATTTTACATTAAAACGAGATCGATGTTTAAATATAGATAATCTCATTGTGTGGTTTTCATTTATAACAACTAATATAGTAAAACCAGTTTTAGAAACTTCCCAATCTATATATAATTGATGGGAATTCTACAGAAATTTTAAGTTTGTATTTTCCTCCCATTCATTAGTTTTTCTTAAATTGATACATTATTGAAAATTATAATTTTGTTAGTGTATTGTAAAGTGAAATAAAAAATGCTATTAAAATTTTCTTTTTCTAGTTCTGTGTTCAATACATTATAATAATAGTCAACTATTGATGTATAATTTAGTTTTTAGCTATTTTTTATCAAGACAAAGATTAATAAAATTGACAATATGATGACTAGACTTCGGCAAATATCCATATTCCATATTTTGCATATTGTGCATATTTTATGTAAATATTTCATATTTTGGCATATTTGTATAAAAGTTTGCATAAAGTGCATAAAAGTTCAGATTTTTATACTGTATTTAAAATTTTTAAACATACCAATTTATTTCAATTCTTGTATAAAATTTTGTAGTCATTTTAATCAAGAAATGATCTAAGTACGTAATCTCTAGAGGTACAAAACATTTACAATTTCAAAGATCAATTTAAGTAGCCCTCAACATTCTTAGAAAGTCTCGGTCACTGAGGCATTCAGTTATTGGATAATCGCTAAGGGTTCGCTCATTTGCATTTTATGATCTAATCCCCAAATCTATCTACAATTTATTGTATCTTAACAGCAGGTAAACGGCTAATAGTTTTGTTCCTAATTTAGGGATTTTCCAAAATCTCCCAGTTTATTGAATTAGGTACCTAAACATTTCTAATTTGATGCTCAGATTTGTAAATCATTTTTGTTTTGATATTCAACGCGTAAACACTCGTTGTGCGTAACAAAAAAAAAGATTGTGATTTTATAATGCCTAAAACAACCAGTGCTTCAACTTGGATTAAACCTTATAAAGAGCTGTCTATGGATATGGGAAAAATCTACTGTTCAGTCTGTGGCAAAATTGTAAGTATCTAATATTTTTTATTAAATACCTAATATTTCATATATACAGGGTGTTTCCAAATGACACTTACAACGTTTGACAGTAGATACTTCTCGAAAAATTGAACAAAACGATATAGTTAATGAGGGGTCAAACTTATTTACTTTTCGAGATACAGGGTGTTAAAATTAAAAAAAAATTAAATTCTTTTAGTTAATAACTTTAAAACCAATAAACGTATTTACTTGAAATTTAGTACTCGTAGGTTGTTTTTAAATGAAAAATAGCTTCCTTTAGTGAGAAAAAATTGTCCATGGTACAATACAATGGTGTGTATTTAGAAAAATTTTTCACCTTTACTTTTTTTTATGAAGTCAGCTATTCTAAAACACAATTATTTTTATTGTAATTGAATTAACAAAAAAAAAACTTTTGTTGAATTTTAAAATAAGTTATATGATGTACTAATGGTTAGTAACAAAAACTAATTTGTGGATTAATACTGCATTTAAAACACTTAGGGAGTGTTTTTTTTTTCAAACCAGTTATTTGATTAACCAAAAACACCTTGTATATTTTTATATTTTAAAGGTTGGGTTAAAATAAAGGTTTTTATTTTTATTTATAGATAGCATGTGAGAAGAAATTTCAGATAGACCAACATGTGAGAACTGCTTCACACATTGCAAAAAAAAGGAAAAATAGGAGGAAAACATCAAACTTCAATGGCTAAATGTTTCCAATCTACTTCAAAAAAATTAGATGAGCAAGAAACTTTTAATGAAGACTTGTGTCGCGCATTAGTGTCTGCAAACATACCGCTTTCAAAATTAGCAAATGTAAATTTTAGTTCGTTTCTAAAAAAATATTGCAAACTTAATGTTCCAAGTGATCGGTCTCTAAGAAGAAATAATGTGAACGGGCTATACTCGTCGGTGTTAATTAATATTAAGGAAGAAATTGCAGATAATTATTTTTACATATCTGTAGACGAAACCACTGATTCCTCAGAAAAGTATATTGCTCATTTATTG